GCATGTGAAGAGTATGTGTGTAGCTTCACTTATTCTTAATCTTCCACTATATGGGGGCGAGTTTCTTTGCCCAAGGCACCATTTAGCATGAGTCTGTGGAGAAGAAAAATAATCTTTTGTTCCTGCTGGGAATCGAACCCTTATTCCTCGGTTGTGCGGCGCGTAGCTCATCGCTGTACCGACTGAGCTATCCTGGCGCCCGACAAATAACAGTCTAGAATTCTTTTCAGGTGCATCAGCCGCATCTGCAGCTCTCCACACATCCAACACGTATCACAGCTGAGCTCATGGTCTTCTGAGATGTGATGTCGAGTAGTTTTGTACATACGTTTCGGAGGGATCTACTGCCTCTGTCTTCATGGTGAAAGTCCTTTTCCTGTACTCTGAAAATAAACACAGCAAGCGTTTGTGAAACCCAGGTGTTCTGTCCACCAAAGTATATAACATCAAGCCCCAGAAGATCATAGTCTATGCATATACAGACAGGAGGAGCAGAAATGTTTTATAATTTTGAAAACTTAGTGTCATCAATCTGATACGATGATATACCTGAACTTTCAGATATTAAACTGCAAATGACAAAATTTCGAATCAAAGTGCGCGCGTGCTGTTGTAATGATTTACTACTAGGGGCACTGCAGTCAAGGAAACGGGAACAGCTGTATACGAAGAGAGATCTGTCCTGTGGTTTACAGAAGTAAATTCTGTGAAACGAAAGCAAGGACACTGTCCAATGGAGTTCGGATTGTATCCACTTTCTGAGCCATCTCTTTATGTGTTCTGCATACAGTTCTGTGAAAAGAGTTGTCTGTGTAAATGGGAAGGTTCCGGCTCACCATCTGCGACGAGGATGAGCCGACAGTGGTAAGTGTGAGTCAATCCATTGGCCACCGAAGTTAATACTGTATATATATATATATATATAGCAATATATGTAGTTTAATATCTTATGTTCGAATCCACCTTGCTTAACTAACTTCATGGAGCTGAACCCTCCTTGAGAAGTGGCCAGTTGTGCACCTACTGAAGAACTTCCCAGCATTTATGGAACCCGAAGGTTCATTACCATGTTCACAAGAGCCCTCCACTGGCCCCTATCCTGAGCCACATCAATCCAATCAATACCATCCCATCCTATCTCTCTAAGATCCATTTTAATATTGTCCACCCACCTACGCCTTAGTCTTCCCAGCTGTCTCTTTCCTTCTGGCTTTCCCACCAATATCCTATACGCATTCCCCTTGGCCCCCATTCGTGCTACTTCTCCTTGACTTTATCAGTTTAATTATACTTGGAGAAGAGTACAAGTTATGAATCTCCTCATTATGCAGTTTTCTCCATTCTCCTGTCACTTCATCCCTCTTCGATCAAAATATTCTCCTCAACACCCTGTTCTCAAACACCCTCATTCTACTTTCCTCCCTTAATGTCAGAGACCAAGTTTCACACCCGTACAGAACTACAGGCAAAATTCTAGTTTGTATATTCTAATTTTTATATTTTTTTGCAGCAGACGAGAAGACAAAAGGTTCTGGACTATAGTTCAATCTCCTCTTAATTTCCTCCTGAATTAGGGTTTAATTTGATATAGTCGTTCCCAAATATCTGAACTGTTAAACATTTTCAGAACATCTGTTAGCTATCCTTATGTCATGATTTTGTCCTGCATTAGGTAAACTGAAAAATCCAATGACTTCACAGGACTCGAACTCGCGACTTTCAGGCTTGTAGCGTAGTGCCTCAAACAACTGCTCTAGTGCGTACCCCTTGCTTACATAGTTTAGAAGACACTTGGATGTAGGAAGAAGAGGACTTTACATACTTTGTCTAGGACAGCTGGAGAGACTGAAACAACGCAAGGAAATATCCTAGACTTGCTTGAGTTGAAGCTTCTTGCCTTGTTATAGTTATAGTTATACAGTGATAATTTTTTTATTCTCATCAGCGCTACCTATATAATTAAATTTTTCATTTTTTGTTTTTAGGGCTATCTTTTGCTTCATTAATGCGGATTATCGCCTAATCCGAATAACTTCTTCCCAAATTAGTTTTGGTTTTGTGGTTTCCTTTGTATTATGACAAATTGTAATTTTAGGATTCTACGCGTTTTACGATTGCAGGCCATCTAGAAACATCATACATTTTACAGAGCCAGCATTATGTACGGGAACTGAAAATTACGAAGATTGCGTACCCTACTCTTATTTTCACGAATGTCGATCAGTTTCTTTAAGTCATTAGGGGAATGCAGACAGTTTACGTGTAACATACGGACTGCTTTTCTCCAATTTCGGCTGCGTTGTGTTCGCCTCTCAATTCACACTAAATTAAGCGTTCTGATCTCTTTATGATTCTCCCATTTCCTGTACAAGATGCTTAAAGGCTTACGGGGCGAATGCTCAAGACGAATTCCACTATCGTTGAACAATTCTTGTCTTAATGATCGACGCTGAACGTTTTGGTTTCACTGAAACTGTAACCGCTCTCCGAATTGAAAGCGTTAGACGAGCCGTTCAAATGAGAAACCCGCGCTCTTGAAGAAGAAATTGTTCCTCTGGTATTCTACGAGGGAGAGTCAGTAAATAGGTCACAAATAGAAGTAAAACAGTTGTAACAGGCATAATAGTCTTTCTATGTGTATCACTAGGTAGCAGCAGAGTCCAGCTACATGACAGTCTGGGTAGCAGACGCACATGCGCATGTTCAGAGGCTGGTTTCAATAGTCAAAATAGCGACCGTACTTGAGGGGTGTATTACTAAAGAGCAGGGTTCTGTCGAGCATTTTCTGTGGAAATAAGAATTCAATACAAAGGATATTCATAAAGACAATTTTCCTGTTTACTGTGGGAAGTGCTTGTCGCGTAAAACGGTTCACAGCTGTGTGACAAAAATTTTGCTGATGACTAAGATTTTGAAACGGAGGTGCGGAAGTGGCTGAAACAACAGTCAAAAGATTCTGTTCTGCAGATTTCGACGCAGTGCTAAAGCGATGTGACAAATGTATCAGTGTTAGTGGAGGATATGTCGAGAAATAAATGTCTTCTTTTCTAGGTTCGAATATCACATGTTTTACGTTTTTATATCCATTTATGACCTATTTACTGAGTCTCCCTCGTACATCAGTATATTTCGTATGGTTTTAGCTTGGCATTTTTATTTCGACCCGGTTAAACTGTTATACATTTTTGTTACATTTTCAGTTGCGCTCCCTCAGATTAGCAACAAATGTATCACTGTCCTTCCCAATCTTCACTTCGTGTGTATATGAAGAACAGCCGTTGCTCTTTTTAATTTTTTATTTTTCAGGTTTTTAGCAATTAACGTGTATCAAGATTTTACAAATGTTATGAAATTATGAGAATCGTAATAAATTTAATTCTACTATTTATCTTTCTCAGAATTTCCCTCTCGCTCTGGTTCGCGCGCCCCAGACTTGGAACCAGTTGCCTAAGCGTGAGCCTCCTCGATTCGTCAGGCCCTGTGGACTATGGTCAAGTCATCACGGCCTTTACTTTTCTGTTGTTTCTATAAAATGAAAGATTAATTTCCGCAGCTCATTTGTTTAAGTTGTGACCGTTAATTGGCAGTGATCCAAACATGTTATGCAACAATGTGAATATAACCGTGAACTTCAGTGTCTCTAATCTCTGGCCAACAGCGGCATCACGATCTCTGCGACACAATGACGTCATATTTTTTTTATTTTTTATTTTTTTTATTTTGTTGACTCTTGTTTTACGACACGATTGTCTACTTGCTCAGTTGGTATAGCGACGGGCTACGGGCCGGATGGCCGGGGTTCGGTTCCCTGAAGGATATAGAGCTTTTTTTTTTTTTTATTCCACAGCGTCCATACCAGCTCTCGAACCCAACCAGCCTCATACCCAATGGACACGAGGGGCTCTTTCCCCGATGGTAAAGCAGCAAGCGCGTGAAGCTGACCACTCACGTCCTCTAGTGCCGAGCACAAGAATGGTGCAGCTATATCTTCCCTCCACCATACGTCTTCATGGATTTCTGCGTAATGAATTAAGCACAATGACAATTTTACCCCTTCCCCCCCTTTTTTTTTACATTTTTGGCGGTTTTGTTCACAGTGTGTGTGAGGATTTCGTCTTGTTAAGAGTGACGAAATTTTGACGAGGTTCATTTGTTTTAAAACTCTAAAGAAGACGTTTAATTTGCGATATACAGTAATTAATGTAATGTAATTCACCATAATCAGGAATGTTTGCAGTAAGAGTTCGATTTGCGCCACAACGGAATACAACCGTTACCTTCTCTGTTTGCATCCTCTTGTGTATCATGATGGATGGTATTTGGCCGTCATCACAACAATAAAAATAAACCAATCGAACTGTTCACATAGGTTTTATTTAATGGTTGCTACATATTTCGGTCCGCATATGATATCATCTTCAGGCAGTCTCATCAAATACTTTTCTTGTTATTGAACTGTCTTAACATGGATCCATATTAGCGCTGCTCATCATAATCATATAATGCGTGCAACCGTCACGAAGTTGCAAGAATGTTTCTGATTTTAGAATTTTTCCGAATATAAAGTTATAAATTCTCTTGTCGTTAAATATAAATTTCTATGTTGGTTTTGTGTTTCTGTCGCGCATTGTAGGTTGTCCTTCGCCTGGGGTTCGCTGTTATGCTATATGTTATAGAAGTTTTTCAAGATAATGCTATTAGTTTTTAGTTTGTTCTCACTTATCTTCTTGGGTATGTCTCTGTGATTTTGGCCCCCCCCCCCCTTAGGGTGTACTGTGTATTCCTTCTATGAGTGCGGTTATGTTATCTGCCCCTGGTTAGACCATGTTTAGAAAATGAACAGCTGAATTCTCGGGCATGCCATATTCCGCGGGGGGGGAGCAGGGATGCGGGGAGAATGTGAGAGGCAGAAAAAACGTCTTCGACCATATGTGAAGGAGTAAAGATTTGCGGCAGAGATAAGGGCAACACAAGTGATGGTTGCTCTTGACGCTCTTGACCGCTCTTGACTAAGAAGTCTGCCTTCAGTGCTGGAGCAGCAGCCAGTCAGTATGGGAGGACAACACGTGGTGCAATCAACTGTTTTATTGTTGCTTCTGTCAGTTATATCGACAAATAACTCTGACAATATTAACATTCACGAAAATTTATCCCAAGTGTTGGATACCTCTGATGGAAGTGGCGGTGGTTCAGAACATGTGACGAGCGTTGCAGGAGTAACAGACGCACGAACAGAAGCAAATCAAATTGAACAGTCAACACCTGAAATAAGCGTTGTGCAGAAACCGTTTTCTAACACCGATAATGAAACGGTTTCGTCAGTTGAGAACTTAGCAACTGTATTCAGTGCTACTAACTTACAGGGATCTTCAGAAAGCAACAATGCAGAGAACACGAGGACAACTTCACCCCCCATAAATAGTGCTGATATGATTATAGAAGGAAAAGGCAAAAGTGAATTTCTCCAGCAAACAAATAAGGAAAATTTCAGCTCATTTCCAGAATTTGACCATCGTCCAAACCTTAATAACAGTCACACCGAAGATGACAATGCTAGTTTCCTCAACAGTAATCCATCTTACAGTGTTGCCACCGATTATGTAACTCCACAACAATATGTAGGTGACCTTTATGTTGATTCTGACAATGGCAGTATAATAACACATAATAATTACAAGTCTTTAAATACTGAAAATAATTCTGAAGAGCCTTTTGACGAAAATAGTTTTAATCAGCTTATTAATGATGGGTCAGATATATACCAGGATCAAATGGCAGATCAAAGTGATTTTGATGCGGAAGAGAATCAGGATGCAAATTTGGAGAATTATAACAAAAGTAAAATCCAAAGTCAGTCAATCAATGACTCGGTGTATGATGTTTTGTTAGATTCACCTACTCCAGAATTTCTTAATAATTCATTTGATAATGAAGATATTTTTGAAAAAGTTTTTAACATCTCAGATATTGTTGACAGTGAAGAAAATCGCTATTTCAACTACCAGGCAGGCAGTGTAGGACATGCAAGGGAGTCTCCTGGGTCTAATGTACAAGTCTCTGGTTCAAACACTGAACAAAACCTAACTGATAATGAGAATGTTATGTACAATAATGTGTTTGAGGTGTACCACTATTCGCGTAAACCAAATCCAGATGGGACTATGCAGAATAAAACGTTAGGCCAACATATTGAGGAACTTGTTTTAAATCGACTTCCTTCCTCAAATAAAGACAAAGACAGTGACCAGATAGAATCAGGAGATCATGAAGAGAGCAATATTTCTTTGGATGTTGAAATATCACCTGATGAAATTAGTGAAAGTGATGAGGAAGGGACACACAGAGGGGCTAGTTTGGCCTTTGTGTTTGATTCAACAGGTTCCATGTGGGATGACTTGGTTCAAGTAAAAATGGGAGCTGAGAGGATTATGGCGACAATGTTGGAACTCCCAGACAAACCCATCTATAACTACGTTTTAGTTCCATTCCACGACCCAAGTAAGTGATACAAACATCTTAACTTTATAATGTAGGACAGATCTAAGAAAGTTGGAAGTTGTGTTGAAGTTTCGGTAGAAAAAATGTGAGACTTTTTTGCTTGATCCTGATTTATATTTCCCAGTTATTATACATTCTTTACAATAGGAATTGGGGTGGAGGGGGTCATATGTGTTCATCGCCATGTTCATCCTGAGATACACTCAACAGATTTGAATAAACACTGACATTCACAGTTTGCACACCAAAGAGTCTAACCTAGCAGTAATAATATAGACATGTATTTAGGACAATCTTGGATTTGCGTCTCGGCCAGGACAACTATCACGACTAATGATTTTCATGGTTTCATTCAGACCGTCCAGGCAAATGCTAGGATAATATCTGAATATGCAATTCTCAGTTACTTCCCAATTCATCATTCATTAAACATCCCAGCATATTGTCACATGTATGGGTGATTTACAAGACAGAATTTGGATTGGTAATTGGATTTACTGATCACTCCTTATACAATCACTCATAATCACAATAAGTTACAATAACTCGCCATAGATCTTCAGGCAAACCCTTCTTCCTTGACTTCCTAGGACTCGCTCAATTCTGACTGGACTGCCTCTACTGAATAGCTTCTGGGCAGACTCCATGGGAAACACGTTCATTGCCTAGCAATGGACGTCTACTGTTGTCCAGAACGCGCGTCCACCGGTCCGTTACCTAGCAATGGATGTCCTATTGTTGAGGGCTTGTGTTGAGGAAATATGTTTACCGAACCATTACGTAGCAATGGACATATGCATCACAATATGACGCTTCATAGTCTCAAAACAACAGTGGCAGTAAATAACTATCTCAGAATTCTACAAAAGAACTGTCATGTTTAATATTGGCTTGTATCTGTTTTCTATAATCCCTAATTTAAATAAATCTCAAATGGAACTTAATAAGTTCTCCCCAAAATAAAAATGTACAACTTAAATGTACAGCAGATAATTTATGACTCTCTGCACTGATAACAGTAATGTGATTAACATTGTAATAATGAATTTGTATCTGCAGTAAGTGAACATAAGAGCCAGTGAAATATTGTCACGTGTGTGAGTGACTGTAGACGAGGATTGGTAATTGGACGTATTGAACACTTACAGATTGTAACTACAAGTAACTATACCACTATCGCTAATTCACACACTGTGCAGTTCACTACACCACACACTTAAGTCTTCTCAGTTTGCTGCATCTTCACTGGTTGTGGCCTGCTAATGGCTTCCAATGCCGTAGCTTTCTCAGCTTCCGTGTTCACGTCCTTACTGCCAGGCGACTCCCTCTGCCGTCTCAAGACTCCCGCGTAATCAAAGTCAAAGTCACATTGCGGCCAACAGTCAGTCAGACAGTAAGTCTTGGTATCGAGCCCCATCTGGGGCTCATGACCAGATATTAATTATTACCATTTGACAGTTAGGTCTTGTTTCTGTGGGGCGCCCTCTCTAACGAGAGGACGGGTCTGTCTCTTGTACGTGTATATGCCCTTGCCAGCACAGTCTTTCTCAGGTCCATGTCCCTTGGGACCATATTTTACTCTCTCAGACTTGAGACTTCCCTTTACGTCGCCTTCTACGACTCACAGGGTCATGGTGGTGTTCAAGCGCGCCTCCACACGGGTTTGACCTTCGACGTCAAAGTCAAAGTCATATTGCGAATGACGGTCAGTCAGACAGTCTTGGTGTTGATCCCAATCTGGGCTTATGACCAAATATTTCCAGAGCAGAAGCTTACTGCCGGCAATCAGCGTGCTTGTCTCTTGCGGCCATTACATAGAAACGACAGTTGTTTACACATTTTCTAACAATGGCTGTTGTATAACTGCTTTTTAACACATATACTTGAAAAATGTTCTCAATTTATACTATTGTTTAAATGTAAGTTGTTGTTTTTTGTGGAAAATGTAACTTTCAGTTTTTAAGTGAGCCAGAAGGTAAAAGTTTCCATTTGACTTCCATAACATGAAGACATAACTCACCTTAAGTGACAGATGTTGGTGGCATACTGCCTTGATCTTTATTGAACTTAATAAAGCTATTCTGTTGCTTCTCATTCCATATTCATCGAAGAAAATTCTTCCGTTCATATGTTTTCATGAGCTCAGTAAACAGCTGCAAGACCTACATGTAGATGTGGCCCTGTTTTCAGAGACACATCTGAAACCTCATGAGAGGTTCTTTATTCCAAATTACAAATTTTATGGAACTGACCGCCACTCGGGCAGAAAAGGCGGAACTGCCGTCGCAGTTATAAAAGGCATTCCCCATAACCATGTAGACCTACCACCCTTTGTTTCAGTAGAAGCGACAGGGGTCTGCATACCAATTGGTAAGGGTGAAGTGCTGCTTACAGCTATTTATAAATCCCCAGGCAGGGCCTTAAGTGATGCTGACATAGCAGAGCTCTTAAACTTAATACGAAAGTCTATTTTGGCAGGCGATTTTAATGCTAAGTACCCATTTTGGAATAGCAGAATTTCAAACCCCTCAGGCGAGAAACTCATCGATTTGTTTGATATGAGTGAATTCGAAATTTCAGCACCACAATGCCCCATTCATTATTCCTCTGCGGGAAATGGTGACGTGCTGGATAATGTGGTCCACCAGAATATCAGAGTACCAGAGTGTCAGATGTCATCGTCTCTGGTATTTTGGATTCAGATCACCTACCAATAATATACCACATACTGGATCACGTTAAAATTAGGAATCTTTCGGAATCTATTGAAAGATTTACAGATTGGAAACGATTTCAAAGTCGTGCCTCGTAAGTTAATATCACCTAAACTAGAAATTAAGTCGGGGGTAGAAGCCGATAAAGTGGCACGCGACTTTGCAGCCTCTATTGCTTCGGCATATGGGTTGTTGATAAGTAAAGTTACACTTTCGGCCATAAACAACGATCTTCCTGGTCTAGATCGCTTGTTGAAACATAAGTAGATGCTACAGAAATTGTGTCAAGAAACCAGGGATCCAGCGTGTAAAACAGCAGTCAACTGGGTCACAAAATCAATCAGGCGAATGGCCTGAAAAAAGGCACTTGAACGGTGGGACAAAAAAGATAGGTAACGGTGAAGTCACACCTCAGGGTATGTGGCCCATTGCAAAATCTCTCTTAAAGAGAGATGGACCAAGGGCACCATCTGCTATTCATGGTTCTGCAGGCCTTAAATTCCATCCTTCCGAAAAGCTCAACGCAATATCTGACTGGAAATTCAGTTCACTCCTCACGATGTGTGTGACGCTAACCATGAACGGCAGGTGGAGGCTAGAGTTCAAGCTCTGCTTGAAACCCTAGACAACAACCTCCCTCAAAGGATGAGACCATGTGACGTACAGAAATTAATAAATTCCTTGAACGTGAGAAAGGTCTGCGGAATTGATGGCATCCCGAATGAATGCCTCAAGTAACTTTAGAGGCGACCATTGGTTCATCTAACTCATTTATTTAATGATAGTCTTCAGCCCTCTCATTTTCCAAACACTTGGAAGGAAACAAAAGTAATAACTTTACCTAAACCCGGTAAAGAACCAAAATTCCTGCAGAATTTACGTCCGATCAGCCTCCTGTCCATGACAGGAAAACAGGAAAAAGTAATTTTGAAATTACTTCAAAAACATATTGAAGAAAGAGGCCTGCTCAACGCAAGCCAGTTTGGTTTTCGTGCACATCATATCACGACATTGAAATGCATGAGGCTGGCGGATCACGTGACCCTTAATTTCAACAATGAAATATCTACGGCTGCGGTGTTCTTGGACATTGAAATCGCCTTTGATACCACGTGGCACTCAAGCTTGCTGTATAAGTTATCAAAATTGGAATTCTAGAACAGTTTGACCAAGCTTATCGGGTCATTTCTCTCTTAACGTAAATTCAGGGTTTCAGTTGAAGACGAAATGTCAACTCCAAGGGAAATGCAAGCAGGGTTGCCACAGGGCTCGGTCCTGTCCCCTATTCTTTTCAACTTGTATATTAATGGTGCCCCCCATACACATGGTGTTCACCTGGCCCTCTTTGCGGACGACACCTGTCTGTATGCGACAGATCGCAAGGAGGGTTTTATTGTTAGAAAACTCCACCACGGTCTCAACTCAATGGAGACCTGGTGTGAGCGCTGGAATATTAAAATTAATGAAGATAAGACTCAGGGGGTCTACTTCTCTCGTAGTCCTCGATCACTTGAGTCTTGTCTCACTCTAAATGGAAGAAATATTCCATTTGTAAATAGTGCAAAATATCTAGGTGTAATCTTTGATAAGAGTTACATGGAGATTGCACATAGAAATGATCGAAGTCAGAGCCTTCAGAACATTCGTTAGAGTATATTCCCTATTCACAAGTGAGCGATTGAGCGCTAACATTAATTGACCCCCTACAAAGCTCTTATTAGATCTGTAATGACTTATGCTAGTTCCGCCTGGGTGTTGCAAAAGGTTGTACCACCCCTGTAGTTTAATTAACCCTGAGTCTGATGTGTGGGGTCATGCCCTCTACTAATATCTATAAAGTGTCAAAAGGTTGACCTGCTTCTACTTAAAAATATTATATCTACCCCTGCCATTTTCATAAATCAGTGGAGTCCTGGAGTATCTCGTCTGGAACCTGTCCTTCAACTCAGGCTGGTGTAACTTGATATTTGTGAAGGGTTCAATGGAGGCTATATGTTCCTCCGAAACGTCGGTTAACACCACATATACATGGTGCCAAATCCCAGAAGACTGCTTTCTTCTTAGTTTAGATTAGTTTTTAAGAACAAGAGAGAAGTTGAAGGGTGCATTTTTGTCTGGGTTGTTGCGAGGAGAAGGCTGGCCATGCTTACGTCCACCAGCGCTTGTATGTAATGTACACACAGTTCAATAAATCCTCTATATTCTATAGTGAGTATTTGCTCTTTGTGGTTGGAATACACGCTGAGGCAGCCAAATGACAAATCATCGTCACTGAATTATTACGCTACCGCTTGGTCAACGTAATTCAGTTGACCCACCAACATCTTGGGTCATGACATGGGAGTTTGCAGCAGACACCCATCTAGTGAAATTGCAGCGCCTGCAAAACAAGATTCTCCGCACCACTGGCAATTTTCCGAGGCGCACACCGGTCTGCTATTTGCACATGGTGTTCAAAATCCCATATGTATATGACTATATAAACAAAATTATGCAGGCAATAAGCAGAAGTCATACACACTCATGATAATGATAATTTTCGCGACATTGGACAAGGTGAAGCCCGACACAGAAAGTATAAGAGGTTTAAACTTGGTGGCGGTCAGGCATATGACAGTTCAAGTGACTAGACTGCCATGGTAGCAAATACTACTAGAAATAGGACATAGTCTGCTGTACTGAGCCTGGACTGACAGGGGCCTTGTATAAATTATACATACTAGATATTAAGGCTTAATTTTAAATAAGTGTATATAGTGACAATGGCCTAATACTATCGACTATGAATGACAAATGATAGACCCAACCTCTCATCAGAGAGGGTGCCCCACATGGACAGGACAGTAACTTTCATTTCAGAGAAACATCTGTTCATGAGCCCCGGCCAGGGCTCGACACAAAGACAGACAGACTGACTGACTGTCAGTCACGATGTGACTTTGACTATATTGTGGGAGTTGTATGTTAGACTGGTGAAGTTGTGTGTTAGAATGTGGGAGGTTCCCAGACATTTTTGGTCATCCAGCATCTGTACAGCATATGGGTTTTACATGCCATGGCTTATCAACATATTCTGCTTGGATTCATTCCAGATAGAGCGTAAGTGAAATGTTATGTATAATTTAGGTAAATTTCGTATTTCAGCCTTTTCGATTGCAAAGAGCTAGGTGAAATGTTCCTGTTTTTGAACTAGTACTGACGCCTCACAGCAGTTATACTGACAGCTGGAACTAATATGCACATTAACTGCCACAGTCTTCTAAGACTAAATTTACAGAAATGTTTATTTGTCCATCATATATCAAAAATTGAGGATTAAATGGAGAAAGATTAATTCCAGTAGCCTAAATTTACAGAATTTGAAAATTATCTATTATGTACCTCATACTGGAAACAATTGGTAACACCAAAATTACTCCTTCAACACATTGAATGAAATTCTCTTTCATTGATGTGTTTTTAAGTTTTTGAAGAGACGTAACAAGATAGTCAGCATTTGTTCTGTCTACAGCTGGTTCCTGGAATCGGGATATCACAGTTGGTATAACAATTAGGCCAGCCTATAGGCTGGCCAACTGAGGATTAGTAATTAAATTCCTGGTAGGTGCAAGAGATGTTTCTCTTCTTTGTAATATCCAAACAAACTCTGAGGCCCACCGAGCCTCCTATACAGCGGTTACCAGGGACTGTTTCCATGGGTAAAAAGTGGCAGGGTTGTGAAGTTGACCACCCTTCTCCATCTAGTGATGAAGTTAAGAATGGTGGACCTATGCCTCAGCTTCCCCACATGTCTTCATGATGTGGTGTTTAATTAATTAAGCACAGGGACAACTTTATCCATTTTTAATTAACCTTAACTCTTACTGAAGAACAAGATGGCCATGTATTAGTGACTATCAAACAGATTGTCACAGTTTTTACTTCAAGAAATTTTTCATTCTTGCAATATGTATACCATGTAATTTCTCACATGTTCTGCCATAAAAAAATTTGAATGTAGCTTGTCCTGACACCACAACCATCTTATAATTGGCCTTTCTCTGTAACAGTATCCTTCTGGTGTATATATGAAAATCAAAGTTGAGAGTCTGTAAGGACCAGTTTCTTGGGGAAACTAAGCATGTTTTTTTTTTAAAATTGTCTGATTTCATACAACTAATTGCTTTATGAAGGAATGAAGAGACTCTGTCACTTAACCTACAATGGTGAGAGGTTTAATTCCATTTTTTAAGGTTATGTGTCAGTATGAAAATAAAACCAGGCGTATGGTGTATTTTCCTTATCACCACACATGGTTTCAGTACTCATATTTGTATTTCAGGAATTGGACCTGTGACTGTTACAAGAGACCACAATGAGTTTCGGGAGAGCCTGCAGAATATAACAGTCCATGGAGGTGGTGACTGTCCTGAGATGGCAGTAGGGGCAGTAAAAGAGGCACTGTCTGTCAGTTTACCCAATTCTTTCATTTATGTATTTACCGATGCAAGAGCCAAGGACTACAACCTGATACCTGACGTGCTAGCTCTCATTCAGAGGAAAAAAAGTCAAGTAATCTAACTTCAGTGTCTAGTACTAGTAACAGGTTTGCACAAATTTCAGTTGCTAGGTAGCCATGGTACCTAGAATATGATAACACTTAGAATTTTCTTTTATTATATTACAACTTCTCAAGGATGGTGGCAAACATAATTTTATTCTACCATTCCTTTATTCCTTTCATATCTTTGCCTCATTTCCTCCTTTCTCCCATATTGTTATCCCATCCTTTTTGTTTGTCTCCCTCTCTCCATCACATTTAAGCAGTTGCTTCTCCCTTCTTTACCACTTCCTCGTCCTTTATGTCCTTCCCTTCCATCCCTTATACTCCTTACCTATCCCTTCTATTTGTCCATCCTACCATCATTCCTTACCCCATATCCTAGAAGGAAAATTTCTCACTCAAGATTTTTTTTTATTCTGGTCCTACCTTCTGGAGATGGCTTATAGATTTATAGGACGTTTGTGCTGGCCTGTTAGTAAGACTATTTGAGTTAAATTAAGGAGTTTGTTCAGTCACTCAGAGGCATGTATATACAGGAGTAGTTCCAAATTTGTAACCTCCTTTCATGTACCAGTATATCATGACCTTACACTGTAATAGAAATTTGAAATGTCTTTCCCAGGAATGAAATGGAGAGATATTGACACATTCACTGCATGGGCTTTTACTTGTTGGAGCCAGCCATTTTTCAGCAAAGACTGATATTTGAACTTGCTACATTCATAATGGAAGAGAACTAATGAAAAACAGTTGATAATTGCTGTATGTTTGGTTTTATCACACTTTAACAAGTATCCCTGCATTTGAGTGATATCTGAGCAAATTATGACATTTACACATGTAGTGGTAACAGCTCATCACATGCTGAGATCAGCACCAAAATGTGGTAAACTCCAACCTGTCAGGCGATGGGATTAGCACTGATGATCACTTTTAGTGTATAAGTTATCCTCTTAGTGTTTTAATGACATTTTATGTCTTTAACAACATCGTAAAGTATTAAAGTTGCACTTTTGATGAAAACATATTTTAGATATCTTTTATATTAAAAAAAGTATTGTTGCATTATTGAGGGATGCTTTATTAATAAGGATTAGCACTGAATGTATTAATATTGCCAGTTTTGAAAATACATAATTCATCTTTTGTAAATTTATAGATTAGAGAAGTGAAATCTACCAACCAAGTGAAGGTCACACATATTTCATTGCTAGTGGGGTAGGACTAAGTCCCTTATACTGCGGCCACTTCTGGCCTATTGTACCAGCCCCAGATGATAGGTGAGGGTGATTGTGGAGCGGTTGGTTCAATGAAGATTGGCAAGGAAAACCGAAGTACTCGGAGAAAACCTGCCTTCACAAATCCCACTTGACCAGACCCGGGATCGAACCCGGGCCACCATGGTTGGAAGCCAGCGACAAACTGCTTGCGCTATGGCGCAACCCTCTTAAAGCTCTTAGGTTACACAGTTTCGGGGTATAAAAACAATGATTATCAAGAATTAAAATGTTTCATGAATATAAGTTATGTGGCAGGTCACAAAGAAGTGAGTAGCGTTTTATTTCAGTGTACTTCGTCTGTTCTGTGAGTATTAATAATATTATTAATACTCACAGAAATTTTGGTTTTGATATGTGAAATTTAGTATAGTTTAAAAAGGAGATGGTTTATGATTGACTACTTGTGCATGTTTTTCATGGGAGATGGCGTTAAACTTCACCTTTGAGCCATAATTCTCTAATACATAAGAGTGGGAAGCAATGTGGGAGAAATAGCTGGATGTTAACATGAAAAAACTTTGACAGGACTTCCCTTTAAATTCACAATAGGTGTTATGTTTAGTTATTAAATGAGGAACTGAGAGTCTTCCTTTAATCCCTGTTCTGGACTTGACAAGTGTTATGTAAATAAAGGATAATCATACATAATAAAGTGTTTAGGTCAGTTACATGTATCATTTATTTTGTATTTAAGTGAAACAGAATTTTGGTGGGGAAAAGATGGGAGGATAACATTTTATGGAGCTAGTAAGGATGGGAGGTAGATCAAGTTACCTCAGTGTTATGTTTACGCTAGTTGTATTGAACCTTTGGATTCTGCTGTCCGAAATTTATTTCTTTAAATGTCGGTAAATTTTACAGACACTGCTATAAGGTTTGTCTGATATGTCATATTCTTAAAACGTCACTTAGCTGCGCTTCCCATCAGTGTTGATAGTCCACATGTAGTCAGTCCCCCAGCACAAGAAGCACATGTATCAATCTGATGAAGTTCTGCGACTGATTCACATTTTACTTAAGAGGTGCCCAGTTTGAATCTTGAGCAGATACTGATAATTATGGCGAAGTTGTTTACTTTTATTTTTTGTATTATAGCAACACCCATTAAGAATTCCACAGGAAGACTAATCATTTATTATATAAGCATAACCGATATTTACTTCCAGTGCTTTCTCTTGTATTTCTTCCCAGTTTTATCAAATGATTCATCAAGGCCAATGCTCAAGGACTGCCATGAATGACATGAACAAATAATCAATTGTAGAGAGTCTCCATCATGTCCTGTACTGCATTTCATATGTACACATCAAAATATTATCAGTATCCAACAAAATACATTCAATTCACTGAAGTAAGTTATTGCTTGATTGTTTGTGATCTACTAAATAAACTATGTATTAAAGAGTCATTCTTCCACTCCATTTCAAATTAATTATTCACTAATCATTCTGGCATTATATATTAGTGTGAGATACTGTCAGTGTTGTTAAACTGACTAATGCATTACCATTCTTTGTTCGGCAGGTTGTGTTCGTGATGACAGGTGACTGTGGAGATAACAAACATGTTGGTTACCAGGTCTTTGAGAAAATTGCATCTACTAGTTCTGGACAGGTTTACCACCTAAACAAGACTGATGTAAATGAGGTATGCGAGCCACGTTCATAACTGAGCTGTATATTGCCTGACAGCTCCCTTTGTCTCTGTGACTTGGATCTGTCTTGATCCCAGCTGTTCCGTCATCATGTGCAGAAAGGTTCATGCACAAAATTTGAATATATATACATATACACAGGGTGTCCCAGGAGGAATGTGCCAAACTTCGGGAGGGTGTTCCTTATGTTAAAGTATGCCGATATAACCCAAAACACCTATGTCCAAAGTTGAACGGTTACGGAGATAATGGCCAGAGAAA